CCCGCGGACTCATGCAATCCACTCACCTCAGCCTCCCAAAGGCGCGGGATTACAGGCTGAGCCACCGAGCCCGGCTGGGACTGCTTTATTTCTAAGAGAAAAGCTTAACACACGATTAAACACAAAGTGTAAAATTTCACCTGCATGACTTGCTATGAATGCAAATAATTTTGATGAATATTTTAAAGAAAATTCCTTTCAACCATTTTTATATTTCCCTCCAGAGGACTATATTTTGAACTCAAAAACTAGGTGAATAACCAACTTTTTTTTTTTTCCACTCTGGAGTAGTCTGCCCTAGAGGAATAGATGAAATCATGATGCTGATTCCACATATGATATTAACATACCAAAAATGATTGAAATAATCTTTCTAGAGCCCTAAATAAAAAAAAAAACAAAACAAAACAAAACAAAAAACCTAATAGAATGTAGTTATTAGAGACTGTCTAGGAAATATATCATAGTTGCAGGGGAAAGAGAAAACAAACAGAAAGGAGGGAGTTATTCACGGAGTTATGCCAGTTTTGCAAGTATGTAATTTAGGGGGAAGACTTCTCAGGATTGTGTCTCAGGATTCTCACAGAATCCTGAGGGGAAGATGGGAGAGAAAAGAAGTTCCAATCATTTTAATTTATAGAACATCTAACCCCAAATCTAAAGTAAGCATTGTTGTGATTTCAAATCAGAGACATTTTGTTAAGAAACACGTTTAACATCCATTAGCCTCATTGCTACTTCAAATAACTGTGGTTGGAGTGATAGAAGGACAGCTTCAGAGCATGTCTGCTCCCAGAAAATATGGCTTAACTTTGACTGGAGCATGCTATCAATAGGTTAAAAGTGAGATAAAATTGTCACTAAGAGCAGACCTCATTGCTAAACAAAGACCCATCAAGAAAAGGATCAACAAAAACAAAATCAGTGGAACCATAAGCAGAAGAATCAAGGGTTGGCTTTCAGGTTACCAAGGACAGCCTGTCACCACTGAGCTCAGCATGAACACAGTACTGACTCAGAAAATAGCTTTGAACAAAAGAAGAAACTTTGGTCTTCTTTTGGTAAAATTGGTACAACTTCTTGGTCAGAAAGTTTCAGTGTGGATTTACAGGGATTATGTCTTGTCCTTATTCTTCAAAAGCAACAAAGAAATCCCACCTTCATCATCTCGTGTATCAGATCCTCTTCTCTAGAAAAAATAAAAGACTCTGCTCTGTTTCTAGATAAACATATAGTAACTTACTCTCTTACTCTAAGGCAGATAAATTTTGCTTTCAATCATCCACTAAACTTTTGGCTAGCAGCCTAGCTGAATTAGTATAAGTACTTCAAATCTCTCACAAGCAAATACTTTTTTTTGGGGGGGGGGCTGGTAAGAGGAATGAAAGAAGATAAAAACAACAAGACCTAATTGCAAGCAGGTCATAACATTCAAATATATTTCATTTCATGAATTTGTTCTCTTCAGATCAAGTTTTTCATAAGCACTATTTTCAAGGGTGGGGTCATTCCTTGTCTAAGGAACAAAGCCAGACTTTAGAAGGAAATTAATAGGACCGGGATATGAACTTATGACCTGTTGAGTACTCCACAGCACTTTTAATCAGAAAAACTGGCCAAGGGCTCCAAGTAATTACCATTCTTCAGATGATTGGCAATAATGTAATTAAACCTTACTTGTAGATTCACAATACTTTAAAAGGGTAAGTTGTTAAATAAAGTATCACCCTGTGATTTGAATTCCACTAGGAACAAAAGTTGTTGGCACATGATGAGTTTTAGACATTAAAATGCACTAGACTTCTTTCCTAATGATGAAAATGATAACTGCTCCTGTAACTTATCATTAATTCACATTATTCAAAATCCTCAATTGTAATATGCCTTGATTTTATCACCAAGCAGACAAAAGAGAAATCAGCCTTCTGGTTCCTAATACAGAAATAGTACTTGCTTCTTTTGCAAGATTTTGAGTTTTGAATTTGTTGCTTTCAATTGTATCTCTAATCTCCTTTCTTTTGTATACTCCAATACAATTTCAGAATACTAAACTGTATATTATAAAAGATAATGCATTATTTATCATTTCCTTGTCATAATTATGTCTATATTTTATTCCAACCTCTTTTACCCATCTATGCATTTTCATATACTGTTCCCTCTGCTGACATATCCTGAATGTTAAAAAATGATTACATATTTTGTACATAAAAATTGTGGTATGGGATTCTAACATTTATAATCCTATAAACCTACTGAAATGTTGCAATATCATCAGCACCACTGACAAGATCTCTCGTTTTTCTCTTATCCCATAACTGTGGCTCCTTCCACGCTCTCCAGTGGTAATCACTAACTCAAGTTCTGGGTTCCTCATTGTCTTGTTTACATTTTGTATTTTTTAATCACATATATATGTTTCAATAAATTATATTTTTTCTTGGTGTGAGCACTTTATAAAGTTGGTATCATCTTGTATGTTGTCAGTCTTGCAAAATCTTATTAATATTTCAAAAAAAACCTCAAAGTCACCTCCTCTGAGAAGCCTTCCTCAAATCCCCAGGTAAATTTGGTTCCTTTGTATCTGAGTATCCTTGGCTTATCCCATATAACTTGATTGTAACACATACCATAATTGCCCTGACAAATTCTGATGCTCTTAATATTTACTGGTAGGTTAAAAGACTAACAGAAAAAATTGAACCAATTTCTAATTTTAAATATTTAAATTTAATAAATGGAAATGTATGCCCAGAAATAAAATTCAGTAATCATCACCAAATCTTTGATTCATAGAAATTTCTCCAGTGCTTAGTAGATGGATAGGATGGAAGGGGCCTTCTTAATCCTCAGCCATCTCAGACTAGGCATACAGCTAATTTCTCCAGTCGTGAAGCTAAAGAGATATGTGGTAAACTGGATGACCCAAATGATCCTCACCTCCTGGTCTTCCTCACCATGAGTTTAGCCATGAGGTCTGCTCTTAGTGACAATTTTATCTCACTTTTAACCTATTGATAGCATGCTCCAGCCAAAGTTAACCCATATTTTCTGGGTATGGACATGCTCTGAAGCTGTCCTTCTACTACTTCAACCACAGTTATCTGAAGTAGCAATGAACCTAAGGGATGTTAGATGTGTTTCTTAACAAAATGTCTCTGATTTGAAATCACAACAATGTTTACTTTAGATTTGGGGTTAAATGCTCTATAACTATTCCTCATATCCTGCCAATGAATGTTGTATCAGAGTTATGTCAATTAGTGATGGTATTTTACTTCCAAGGTGAGGTCATACAATACACATCTGGCTTCCATCTACTCTCTCCCATTGTCTTTTCCCCTTGCCCACCCCTGGCCTCCATCTCTCAACTATTATTCTGGAGAAACCAATTGCCATGTTGTGCAACCAATCCTATGGAGAGACCTACATGGTGACAACTTGAGGCTTTCTGTCAATAGCCATGAGAATAAGCTTAGAAGTGGATTCTCCAACCCCTTCAAATTATTGAAGCCCGAGACAATAAGAGTATCCATAAGATACCATGAACCAGAACCACCCGGCTAAGCTGTTCCTAGCTTCCTAACCCACAGAACTATGTGAGCTAACAAATGTTTGTTGTTTTAAGTTGCTAAATTTTGGGGTAATTTTTAATGCAGCAACAGATATGTATTATGAGATATTTTAGCACTTTAATTGCTCTCCATTTTGTTAGGATTAGGAGACAGGAAAGAAAAATGGAACAATCTGAGAAGGAAGGAAGTTACTCTGAGTGTTTGTACAATAATCCTGAGATGAAAAGGGGACTTAAATATGGTCCAATCCAGCCAACTATACATAAACTGAAATGTATGGAAGAGCCCTAAGTCTGAAGGAAAGTCTGTGACTGAAAACTTCCAAAGGTGGAAATATCATCTACTTCTTTGCTTGTGTTTTTTCAAATCTGTAAAAGCAAACCTGATACCTTGACTGCACTCATGCTACTACTCTCTTTGTCTTTCAGTGAAAAGAGGACCACTCCCTTGGTGGTCAGGAAAACTTGT